ATCGCCACATATAAGTACAAAGTTTCTCCTTCAGCTGGTCTTGCCAGCGTTGGGAGTTGAGCCAAGTGCTTGCGGAGTTTCTGAAAGGCTTGCTTTTGCTCGTCTCCCCAGCCGAGCTCTTTTGATTTTGGGAGTTTAAGCGCTTTGAAGAAAGGTAGCCCTTTGTCCGAGGCTTTTGAGATAAACCTGGACAGAGCAGCCATTCTTCCAGTTAGGCGCTGAACATCCCTCCTTGTCTTCGGCTCAAGGAGATCGAGAGCTATTTGTACTTTGGCAGGATTAGCATCAATCCCCCTTTTACTGACCATGAAGCCGAGGAACTTGTCTGACTTCACGCCGAAGACACATTTCTTCGGATTCAGCTTCATTTGGTGCTTTCGAAGGGTGGCGAAGGTTTCGGCCAGGTTTGTGACATGGTCGTTATCTTCGTTGCTTTTGACGATGGAATCGTCAACATAGACTTCCATGTTACGGCCTTTTTGCTCGGCGAACACTTGATCAACCAGCCTTTGATATGTTGCCCCCGCATTTTTCAATCCGAAGGGCATCATTTTGTAACTGTACACCCCGAAACTTGTAACGAATGTCGTTTTATCTCGGTCATCGGGGTGCATGAAGATCTGATGGTATCTAGAAAATGCGTCCATGAAGCTAAGTAGGGCATGACCGCTTGTCGAGTTGACCAGCTGATCGATCCTTGGCAAGGGATAGAAGTCTTTTGGACATGCCCTATTCAGATCCGTGAAGTCCACGCACATTCTCCAGCTACCATTTGCTTTCTGAACCATCACCACATTGGCCAGCCACCCTGGATACTGACAAGGCTTGATGAACCCAGAATCCAAGAGTTTTTTTACCACGGCTGCGATGTCTTGGTTCTTTTGCGTGAAATAGTTCCGCTTTTTCTACTTAATGGGTCGACATTAAGCTTATGAGAGATGAGGTTCGGATCAATCCCAGGCATTTCTGCTGCCGAGAATGCGAACACATCTCCGTTGTCTCGAAGGAGTTGGATTAGTTCAGCGAACATTTGGCTCAAGTCCCAGTCTGATGCTGACACACCTTTTAGAATTTCCTTCGGCCAACTCTATTGATTATGTCTGATTGTCCAGTTCCATAGCTTTGGCACTGGACTCCTCAAATTTCGGCCTGCTGTCAATATAAGCAGGCTTTCCAGACTTCGGCTGATCTTCTTAGTCTTTCGGCTCAGATGAAGAACTAGCCTTTTCACCCCCTGAAGAATTTTCTTTGGCTGGGGTTCCTTGGGCCGAAGCACTTAAGCCTCAAGGCTTTTTCGCGCTGCGGTCCCGCTCTTTTTCCTCCTCATCATCCCGGTCGCTGCGGCGACCCTTGGATGGTTTGAGGTGGTTACACCTTCGGGCTTCCTTTTGGCTGCCCTTTATTTTCTCGGAGTGTCCCTTGTTCGAAACATAGATCATTGTTTGATGGTATGTCGAGACGACTCCTTAAATGTCGTGAATGAGGGGTCTCTCCATGATCACGTTATACACAGAGAGGGCATCCATGACTAGAAATTCAGCCATGATGCTCCACACTGCTCGGCCTTTGTCGATGGTGACAGGAAGAAGGATCTTCCCATCTAGATATGATGAAGAGCCATTGAATCCATATACCGGGTAGGGTACCAGAGTTAGGTGCTTGGCTTCCATTTTCAGCTAGTCGAATACTCCCCGGAAGAGGATATTCGCCCCGCTGCCGCCGTCGACGAGGGTTCGCCAGACGTTGCGGTTTGCGATGCCCATCACTATCACCAATGGGTCATCATGGGGGTACACCACCCCCTTGCAGTCTTCGGCTGTGAACAGGATGTTCGGCACAGGAGACTGAGGCGGCCGAAGCTCAGCATGATTTACTTGATGGGTTAAACCCCACAAGTGGCGTTTGGCTGCGCTTCGGGAAGTTCCCCCGAAAATAACAAGGATGTCAAGGGTGCCTTTGTCTTGCCGTTTGTCTTTTTTCCGGAGAAAGTCTAGATCTTGCCGAGAGTCTCTCTCGGCTTTCTTCTCTTCGCGGCGATCCACGAGGTACTTCTTCAAGTAGCCTTTTCGAACCAGATCTTCGATCTGGTCCTTCAGCTGAAGGCAGTCCTCGGTGCGATGTCTAGGAGACTCATGGAACTCGCACCATCGGTCCTTGCCTTTCTGCTGATGCCACGGAGGCAACTGCCGAGGCTTTTTGAACCTCCCCTCATCCCTTGTCGTGCTGTAGATTTTAGCGCGAGGAAAAGTAAGGGGAGTGTATGAGTTGTATCTCCTCGCATAGGGGACAAACTTCTCTTTCTTCGGCTCGGCAGCCGAGGACAGTTCTGAGGCCTTGGACTTCCCTTTCCTCGGCACCGGGCCTTCAGACAGTTGTCCTTTTGATCTCCCAGTCAACCCCTGATTGGGACTGAGATTTCGCTTTGTTCAATTCTTCGGCTCGGATAAATTTATCCGAGGTGTCCAAAGCTTCCTCCAAAGTCTGCGGGGGATGCATGACCATGAAGTCAAGGAACTTTCCGGCTTGCAGACCATTCCGTAGTGCAAATACGGCAAGGCCTTGGTCCAGACTTGTAATTCTGGACGACTCGTTGCTGAAGCGAGTCAGATAGTCGCGGAGGCTTTCATCCTCGGCTTGTTGCAGACTCATCAGTTCTGCAGTTGTCTTCTCTCGGCGATTAGCCGTAGAAAACTTGCTCTTGAATTTGTTGGAGAGGTCCTTCCAACCATAGATTGAGTCTTCCTTTACCCCTTTGGTGATCCACGATTGTGCAACACCTTTGAGGGTTGTTGGAAAATACTTACACCAGGTAGCCTCGGACCTGGGGTTAAGATACATGTGCCCCTCGTAAGAGGCAATGTGATCCTTTGGGTCTGAGGTACCGTTGTAAGTGATGTGCGCCGGTACTTTCACTGTTGGCACATGCTCTTCCAATATCCAACTTTGGAAGGGCGAGCTTGTAGGGACCATAACGGCCTTTCTCTTATGCCTGGCCGAAGGGACCTCGCTTCTCCCTCTCAGAGAGGTGGAAGTGGTTTTTGTCCCTGGCCGAGACAATTCAGGGTGCGACCCGGTCTCTTCTGGGAAGGTGAGGCAGCTATGCACGTTCATCTCCCTTAAGTCTAAGCGTTCGTGAACGCTTCGGCGAGCAGACTCCGTGTATTCGGAGGTAGTGTTGCTGCTCCGGAAACTCATTGAGTTCCGAGCTCCGAAATGGTCGAAGAATTGTGTGTTCTTCTTCCTTTCTTTGCTTGAGTTCCATGTTTCCTCTTGCCACTTTTTTCCCGAGCTCCTGGTAGGATGGAACTTGTCCCTCGTTCTCTTGGCCGATTCTCCTTCTCAGGTGTCTCGGCTAAAGAGATGGTGACTCGGGAGGTGTTGGTTGGAGTGGAGCCCCTTGGGCCTTAAGGAACTCCATACAGACAGCCACGACCCTAGCCACTTCCTCCGTAGAGGGCCCCGAAGGAGGGGTTTCTTTCGGCTGGGACCTAGAATGCCAGTTGTTGTGTGGCGGAGGGCTCCTCGCATTAGACCCACTCGGCCTCGGTGACATTGTTGGCTGCCGAGTATGGTGCGAGGGTGAGCCCCTTGAAGCTTCCTTCTCTTGAGAGCTGGGGGCTCTTGAGGCCTCCCTTTCCTGAGAATCGGGGGCTCTTGAGGAAGGAGAGGATGGCTTCGGTGATGGGAAAATTGGCTGATGTTCCCTCACCGTGATCATGTCCCTCCTCCTCCTTAAGGGGGTAGGATCGCCCCTCCTTTTAGCACTTTTGATGCTTTTGCCACTCTTAGTCATGTTTTTCGCTAGGAGTGATTTTTTGTACTTTCCCCACAAATGGCGCCAAATTGTTTCTGTATGAAAACAATGGGGCCTTCGGATGGCCCAATTTAGGTGGAGAAGACTGGTCTCGGTCCAAAGAACGTTGGAGGCGAGGATTTCCTGCACAGCAAAGAACACGTAAACTAGCCTTGGGGGCGGTTGCCGAGGAAGGCCCCTCCGATGCTAAAGCCAGTTCAATGGAGAGAGAATACTATGCAAGAGATTATGTGCTTGAGGCTTTAGTTGCATGAATGTAAATGGATATAATTGATGGCTTTTATACCTTGACTCAATTGAGGAGAATTGGGCCTTTGAAGTCAAGTGGGCTGACTACATTGACTGGGATTTTATTGACCTTAGCATGCTTTTGGAGAGTTAAACCTTGCTTTGAGGTTGAGTTGAGTTATTTGGACTAGACCCAATTCGGTGGACTGAATTGGACCCAAACAGTAGTGAAAGAATAACAATTTGAAAATGGTTTCAAACTAATTAATTAACTAATCATTTTAGTGGCCTCATGCATGAACCTTATCTTATATTCTTCATTGTACCAAGTACATGGTTATTTAACAATATTGTTATTTTTAGTATTCAATTTATGGAGACACATAATTCATAATGTAGATTCTCTACCTATAAGTTAATGTCAAATTTAACTTAAGTTTGGGGGAAGAGATGAAAGAAAAACATTTACAGGACAAGAAATAAAGCAAGGTAGGGGGAAATATATGAAATTGCCTAACACAGATAGCGGAAATATATTTTTCATGGTTGATATGAGGGATATGTATAAAAGGGATAAAGATAGAGGATTGGTGGCTGGGATAATCCTATAATAATAGAGAAAATGACCTCCCATAATTGTCAATAATTGGAAATAAGATTGTAATAACTAGAGTAATAGTGGGTTAGGTTAAGGTTGGTGCAGCTTGATGAAAAGTAGAGTCAAAATAAGATAAATTTTATCGAGACAAGCATTGAAAATGGATTGGATACTTTGGGTCAATGTAGGTCGCGAATTATTGGGCCAATAATAGACATGTCAATAAACGAGCAAGGAAAAAAAATAGAGGATAGACAAAAGAAGGTGAATACATATAAATGTGGAGTTATACGATCTTATGTTGTCAAAATTGCGATCCAAATCGTAGGATATTACAGATATCATCAAACGATTAGAATCATGCTTATAATCAAATCTGCACATAATCGAGCTTAGGATCATTAGGATCATATAGAAATATAGGATCAGTATGACTGCGATCCTATTCGTATCCTATAGGATTAGTAGGATCATGATCGTATTCCGATTCAAACGATCCTACATTAAAGCTTAAGCTTAAATGTGCATATTTTACCAGCCAAACAAATTATGGGCTGGCCCATAAACCCAAACAAATTATGGACAAAATGATTTATAAAAAAAAAAAACCCCAATTTTGGCCTTTTCCCATTCTCTTTCAGAATTTCACCAACAATCAACTCTAACTCTCCAAGTCTTCTATTTGCATTCTGCAACATCCCGCCACTGCACACTGCCGCCACACCGCCTGCCGCCACCGCCCATTGATCTACGGCACCGACCAGGCGAGACCGGAGTGACCCAGACCCTGTGGCCGTCAATTGAAGCAGTGAAGCAGAGCAACTGAGCAAGGTATTAAACTTTAAATTATTAAGTAATTAATTTGTTATTTAGTATATATTTTAATTATTTATCATATCAGTGAATCAATTATTTGAATAATTGAATTGAACTTTTGTTGATGCTATTTGGTTGTTCATTGTTGTGTTGAATTGAATTTTATTTGGTAGTATTGGTACTTTGGTAGTGTTGGTTATTGGGTTATTGTTTGATACTTTGATTTGTTTCAGATTTAATTGCTATTTCATTGTATTAATGTGTTCAATTGAATTGCTGAATTTGTATGAATTTGTTCAATTGAATTGCTGAATTTTTTGTTATTTCTTAAAAATTTCATAGTAGGGTATACTTGCTTTTGAAGTTGTGTTGGTTCTCCCCATTGCAACGGCAAGTGTTGAAAGAGTATTTTCTGGTATGACAATCGTGAAAGATAAATTGTGTAATAGCATGGGAGATCAAGTGTTGAATGATTGTTTGATTACTTTTCTAGAGAGTGATTTGTTTTCCAATGTTAAAATGGATGACATTATAGATCAATATCTAAACATGAAAACTCAGTTGTGAACAATTGTAATAGTTTTATAGTACTATCTACTATGTGTTTGTAATATGTTTTTTGTATTAATTTCGGCTTGTAAGCTGTAAGATGGATTTTTTAATTACTATTTGGTTGTAGTATGGATTTTTGACTTTTTGTGTCCTATAACTCCTATTTGTTTGATCGAAATCAATTTGGTTGTAATATATATTTTTTTTGGTAGTTTTGGATCTGATTTTTTTTTTTGGTACTTTCACAGGTGATCTATAATTCTGGGTGACTCACAGGTTCGGAAATCCTGGATCTGCCTCATGGTGGTGATAATTTCCATTATGTACTTCATAGTTGCTTATGAACTTGGGTATTCTTTTGAAAAACTTATCATCAATTAATTGGGAAATGATGAAATTCACCTAATTTAACGAAAGCGATATCAATCTGATCTTTGACTAATTACTCTATACTCCGTATGTCTTAATGATATCTCAAGGCACTTGTCATGGACATTTTCCGGTTATATAACTTGAAATTACTAAATCATAATTTAATTACTATAAGTACAAAAAATGAGATCTTTTTTAGGTTGAGTTCATTAGAAATGTGCTGATGTTGGCATTTTTAATATGATTGAATATAAGCTCAACATTTGAGATTATTATAGATACAATTTTTGGTAGTTCTTCGAGAAACAACTTTATTATTGTTTTGGCAATTTTTTAGTAGCTCGCTCCTGATCAATCTATGTCCATTGTTTTTTCATGTTGTGAATTTGCTCTAGACAAATGTTTGCTTTTTTCATTGACATTCATGCAAAACCACTCTTCTTTTTAGGTCCTCAAGGATTTCTTATGGTTAATTTTGGTGGTATGGGGTAAATTCATTTGCCTGTGGTTATTATTTGTTTTGCTGTGTCGTATTGCTGCTAGTTAAAGTCTTCTCTGAATCGGCATTTCTGCATGAATTTGATCGCGTATCGTTTCCTGAAATTTGATTGATTAAGAACTGATGCAGGGTGACTTTGTCTGTTGTCATTTATATAGGTGAGAAGTCATGGTGGGATTTAAAAATAGGTACATGGTGTTGGAAATTTTTTTGGATCCTAACAAGGATCTCATGGTGGATGATCCTGTTATTGTTACCCAGTTCAATGTGGCGAAAGCAATAAAAGACAGCATTCTTGTCAACTTTGGGGAGTGTGGTCTTGCTTCTTCCCTTGGCTCTTTCCAAGGTAAGAGACTATACAAGGTTTGTGTATAAAACAATTTGATTCAAAATGGCTGTTTACCCCTTTTTTTTTCCTGACTTGAGGCATGAACTGCAGTTAAGTATGTGAATCCAATTACAAAGTTGTGTATGGTTAGAACATCAAGGGAGGACTACCAGAAAGTCTGGTGTGCAATTACCATGGTTTCAAGCATTGGAAATTGCCCTGCTTTATTTAATCTGCTTGATCTAAGTGGTGAGTAGCACAACTATTGAAAACTGAAATAGCTAAATCAAGTTTTTCTGAATTCTGTAATCTGTATACATGTGCTCTATTTTCTTGATTGGTCTGAGTAAGCAACTACTTCACAGATCTTCTCTAAGCTTTGAGCTTTTTGATCTGATCTGTGGGGGAATCACTGAATTATAGTAACTTTATGTTAAGTGCTGTGGTCTTAGAGCTCGAGCATTCAAAACCCTGTTAAGTTTGTCATGTTGATTTTTGGGCAAAATGATACTATATCGTCTATATGTATTTAACAATCCAATTATAATAGAAGTTTGTTTGACATGCTTTTTAGTAAGTAATGGGGTTGAGGTGGTGGAATAGTTGCATTATTCCCCACCTCAAAATCCTATGGTCTAGGGTCCATGTCCCATATTATGGATTTAGACTCCATCTTACCCAAAAAAAGAAAAAAAAAAAGGAGGCTAATGGAGCACTCAGTTGATACTAGGCCTGTTATTCAACAATTTCAACCCAAAGAGAAGGAAATGAAGAATGACTGAATGAGGTTTTGATTTTAATCATTGTCTGTTAAAGGTCATTTGTATACAATTCTTGTCTTTAAGATTTGTTAGCCTCATGTTGACTGCCAAAATAGTAACTTAGTTGATGATTATTTAGATTGACAACCTAGGAATGACAGATAGACTCACAATCCACACCTTTGTTTTGCTTTTGCTCTTTAACATCACCGAACAAGCTCTAGTGCATATATCAGTTAGCTTCTCCTGAAACCTGGAACTCACTTTATGCTTTCAATCTAGATGGCCTGGTGCAGCGTTTATTTAATATTCACATGGGCCATAGTGCCATACTCAGGGAGGTGAATTTACCCTTATAGTCAGCTAATCTAACTTCTGAAGATTCAACGTGATTATAAACTATTACCAAAGTAAAAAATCTGCTCTTCTTGTTTGTTTCCATGGCCTCAATTGAGGGGCTTTTGGTTGAGCTGAGAATGTCATTTGCTGACCCCCTTAGTTTTTATCTATGACAGGGAGTATCAAAGCTTGCAGAAAAGCTGCCTTGAGTTGTGAAGAAGCAAAATTTGCGCAGTATAAGCTTTTAAAGGGAGGTCAAGTTACAGATGAGTTGAATCGCCAAATGCAGGACTGTTTCGAGAAGATAAAAGTACTGGAACATTAGTGAGTATTCCTGTATTGAACTCACTATTGTAGTTCTGGAATTGAAGATGCGTAGATAATCTTCCAATTTTGTATGATGCTCCATATGAATTAGGTTGAGTGAAGATTATGCCTAGTCGGCAGCTAATTTAAGGCCCGCATAGAGTTCAGTGAAATGAACTCAGTTTTGCTATTAAGTTTTTTCACAACTTAGTTTGAGCTATTTGAATGGCCTTGAAATTCTGGACCATTGTTTAGAGTTCCAGAATCAAGTTCTCTTGCTTCATGTAGTCTACGATTATACCTTGAACCCAATTTATATGTATTGTAGATAGATGATGGCCCCGTGATTCGATTGATATCAAAGGCCATGTCGTGCTGTCCCTAACACATGTGATCTAAGGCAAGTTTCTGTATATTGTAGAAGTTTTCTGAGCATCTAAAACTGTTTTTAGTTTCTTCTTACGTTTCTTTCAAGTGGATTATATATGGAGTTAGAAGTTAGCAGTTGAGGCAGCAAATTTCTTATATGATGCTGCTACATACTTCTATAAACATCTGAGATCTACAAACTATTTGACCTGCTGGTAACATTTTACATTTGAGAAACAATTAGAGGCCGAGAATCCGAGCAAGAAGGCCTTTTCCTGTGAAATCTATAGAGCAACTAGGATGACCAAGGAGCCAGGCCAACCCAAGCCCAACCAAACTGTTATGACTTGGTAAGATTTTACTGAAAGCCAGATACAGTAATTCTGATTCTATAAGATTTCTTCCTTTACCGTATCCAGATCCTTTTGGATGCTATCAGCATTTAGTCACAGTTTTTATGTTTCTGCATTTTCCTTGGGAAAGGTACATAACTAAATGTGATACATGTGGGTCCGGATTGGGATGATGACTTGGGTTAACAACCCCACGCATCACACCTTTCCCAGGCTTCCATGCGGCCATGCCCCCGGTAAGAACGGAATCCTTGTCAATTTGGTTGGAGATGCTCTCACCATGACCGACTCGAGTCTTAAGTTTCTGTAAATATAGTCTGAATGGTGAACAGATTATGTAGCTTTAAATTCTCTCCTCTTTTATGGGCATGCAGTGTGGATCATAAACTAGGTGTTCGAGTGTTGATCCCTCTTGTATAAAATACAGTAGGGTGTTTAATACATACAGATGTATTTTAATATAGGCAGATGAATATGGACCTTACTGCCTATATTTAATGTTGCTACAAGTATTAAATTAAAATTGGGCTTATGGATTTTAGATGTTATATTACCTAAATTCAGATTTGGGATTTGATGCCATGAAAATTTTACTGCATACAAACAAATACCTTTACAGATTTACAGTAGTTTGTGTTGTGCACCTATTCTTGTGCAAGGTCATGCTAAGTTAATTTGTCATGTAGACGAGAGTTGATCTTAGATCTTGATTACCGGCCTTTAGACTTTACCACCTTTATAAGAGAAATTGGTAGACATCAGTCATATTTCTTACACTCGTGCTCATTATGTTATATACTTAGATCAGAGAATATTCTGTATTTAGCGCATGGCTTCAGTCTTTGGTGAATTTTAATCAAGGGCTTTACATTGTGTGAATGTGTCAGTAAATAAAACCATCACATGCTTGGATCAACTAGTAAAAAGAGTTGTCTTTCTGACTTAATAAGAGGTGGCCTTGATATTAGGATCGTAACATATTTCCTAATATGATACGGATTTACGGAGTACTTTGTATTAATTAAAAATGTATGACAAAATTATACGTTTGTCAGTGTTATTAATGTATAATAGGCGTCATGCATCTATTATAAAAACGTTTTGATGCCAGAATAAACCTTGCACTGGAAAGAGCATTATTTCAGAGTCAATATTGACAGGCCTCGTGGATTTTAAAAACATAATGAAGAAGGTAGATTATAAGATTTCAACAACCCATTATATGAAGATGATTGTGTGCCAATTATCTAGCTAATCCCCCTTTTGTTTAACCACTTACAGTTGTCTAAGATAGCATTTTCATTAAGCAACCTTTACATAGTACTTTTGTGTGCCTATTTGATGCTGCAATTTAGGCTTATTGTCCTTAACAATGGTAACGATACTTATGTACAAGAAACCCTTTTGTGGACATTATTGCTGGATTCGATCCCGAATTAATTAAGGCAATCTTAAATTGAAAGTTACAAGTAATTTACTCCGTGATATTCTTAGAAAGTTGCTTCTTTCGTTCTCTATTAAATACAGAGTAGTACTCCATATTGTTTAATTTGGGCAAATATCTTTGGATACATAGTAAATTCTCCTGCATATCTTTCCACAATGTTTATACGTAATATTACCATTTACCACTAGTGCGCCTTCCTTTATCATAAAAGTTACCAAGTACTAACAATTACACCATTTATGAAAAAAATATTCTTAGGAAATTAAATCTGTTTGTTATTTTACATCTCTTTGGGATAATTGGATAAATCACTACTCACTTATAACTAATAATAAAGTACTATTAGAAGTTATTACAAAGTACAAGTATATGTTTAGGGGAGAATTGGTCGTATTAATTTACTACTCCCTTCGTCCCTGATTTACATGCCTACTTTTTTTTTTGAAGGTTTTAAAATTACATGTCTATTTCTATTTTAATAATGTACTTTTTGACAATATTCTCTCTTTTTGATGAGTTGTCATTAATTTTTTTTTTTTTTGTACTTTTGACATCATTTTCCAATACTTTCTCTCTCTATCTCTTTAATAATTACCAACTACCTTTTCTTTCTCTCTATCTCTCTTTAACCCCACATGCATATTTGTACTTCTCAATCATGGCTTTAAGTTCCTTAATTCCCGTGTTAAATGGAAAGTAGACATGTAAATAAAGGACGGAGGGAGTATATAATGTTTCTGCCAAAGTCATATGAAGTACTTCGTTGGATCATTTGGAATGGAGTTAGAATCCATTCTATCTAGTTTTTTGTTTGGTTGAGGTTTTTAGTAATGGAATCTCATATCCAAAGGGTTCTAATTCCTTCCCCCCCCCATACCTATGGAATCTCATACCCACCTCTCCCCCTATGATTCACAATCCATTCTATTAATAAAAAAAAGAATTTATTCCAACAATAAAACCAAATAACTTTGAACTAGTATGGTTTTAGAATCCATACCTCTCTAGTATGAGATTTTATACCAATCAATTCCAACTTGATGAACCAAACACTCCTGCAATATTTTGGGATAAATGTAGGTATGTCGTCAATGGGGCGGGGTGGGGCAGATGTTTTCTTTTTCATCCCCATCCCCACCTAACATTTTCATCCCCATCCCCATCCCCATCCTCATCCCCATCCCCGTGACGGGTCTAAAATTCATCCCTATCTCGGCGGGTACAATTCCAAACTCATGCATCCCCGCCCCACCCCCTACTTGGATATCCACCTTCACCTATTCCCTACCCAAGACCCACCTAATCCCCGCCTCCCAAATACAACAATATTACATACGAAGTAGTATAGATTGCATTAAAAAAAAAAATCATTGTTAACATTACACTTTTTTTATTTTTTAAAATATTTGTATATATTCCCTCCGTCCCTAAATTAGAAGTCTCTTTCTCTTTATTTAGAAATAGGCTTCTAATTTAGGATGTATTGTATTTACTACTCCACTTTATTTTAAATAATTTTTTTATTAATATAAAATAATATAAAAGTACACAATTTTATTTTTTTAAATATATAGATATGGGTATGGGGCGGGTACAACCTAAAATTCATCCCCACTCCATCACCCATGGCGAATATGATTTTTAATCTTTTTATCTCCATCCCCACGGATCTACTATTTAACCTGCACCCCTGACATGCTTGCTCTATCTCGCGAGTAGAAAAGACTACATCCGTCTTAAAGAAAAATGTACCAAGTGGTTAATAAAATGCATTGTAGAACCAAAATTAATCATAATGAAAGTTAAAAAGTTAGCGGCGTTGGATTAAATTTATGAAGAAGGTTTGGTGGGCATCACAAGCAACGTAGCAGACTCCACACTTTCACACACAAAATACAGTCATACTCCAAAAAAAATCACAATTAAAGTCAAAAAGTAATTAATTTTTGATAAGTGTAACTACTTATAAATACTTCCTAAGTTAACACCATTTTTTGTTGTCATAAAATTCCTCCTTATTTTCCTCCTAATCTTATGCATTTCGTTAAACACTTGAATTCCTCTGTTTTCTTCTTTCTACCATCTTTTTAAATTTTTATTTTCTCATTTTTTGTTCTTCTACATATAATAATAAGATTAAGAAAAAGGGTATAAATTGGGAATATCCTCCATTATTTTGGGAGTGTGTTAATTCTTATGATATTTTAGATCATTTAAAAGATTTAAGATTTAGCTAATAGGGTTTTTTTTTTTTTCTTTCTTTCTTTTTTCTTCTTCTTCTATATACAAAAATACAAGTAAAACAAAAATGAAGGAGAAAGTATTGGATTATTTTTTGGTTCCTTTGGGTTTATTGATAATGGTGGGATACCATGTTTGTCTTTTTTACAAAATTATGAAACAACCCACCAAAACTGTCGTTGGGATACATGCTATTAATCGACGTTTATGGGTTGAGGCTATGATGGAGGTATTTTCTCAAATTTTATATATTCTGCTCTTCTTGTTATTTGTTTTTCATTTTCATATTTGTCGGCATTATTTTTTTTTTAAAAATAATAATTGGAGAAGAGTCCATCATTTTGTATTTTTGGGATCAATATGAGATCAATACAAGTAATTTTAAAGTGTCTCATTCTTAATAACCTAGTATCCGTTTTCATTATGTTAATATCGGAGATTGATCAATGTTTTAGTGCCACACACTCACATAATGACATACACGTAAATTATTCAGGTCAATTAAAATGTTAACATATACAAAGTATATATTTTAGAGAATGTGCAATTTTACATGGTTACCATTGCAATTTTACATGATTACCATTGAGAATTTTATTTTGAATTTCTCATAGGTACCTCCATATGATTTATTTTATATAATGAATGTTCCAAGAATTGGTAATACTAGTTGCTGTGGCCGTATAGGAGCTAAAATTTAAATTTTTTTTTGGTTTTTTCATCATGTGCAAATCAGATTGAATTGTTAATTTTGCATGAAATTGACACTCGGTTAGAATTTCTAAGTGGATGTCATTCATATCACTCGATTGAAGTTGGTCTAGTGGTTAAGAAGAGAATATATAAAGTGATTGCTTAGTTGACATAACATAATATATATATACGAAGTTTATATCGTGAAGTGGCCATAGTATAAAAAAAAATTGTGAAGTGAAAGTTAATGACACTTTTATTTATATCGTGAAGTGGCCATAGTATAAAAAAAAATTGTGAAGTGAAAGTTAATGACACTTTTAAACAATCACAACTTAATGGAATGGGATACTTTCTACGGCTAATCAAACGATCACAATGTATCTTGCCTATGGGCATTCAGAAAAGAGTGATTTTCTTTAGGGTCATCCTTTTGCCTCATTAGTATTTCAAAGTTTTACTTTCTTGTTACTATGAATGGCCATCTGAAAAAAATTTACTAAAAATATTTAATGAATATGGCAGGATACAAAGAACGCAGTATTAGCAGTACAAACACTGAGGAACAACATAATGGCATCAACCCTCTTGGCATCAACAGCCATCATGCTTAGCTCAGTGATCGCGGTGCTTATGACAAGCAGAGGCAGTGGCAGTATGTTCGGTCTTGTATTAGGGGACGCGAGCCAAATGGGATTCTCTGTTAAGTTTTTCAGCCTTGTGGTATGCTTCCTCTTGGCCTTCTTGCTAAATGTGCAATCGATAAGGTATTATAGTCATGCTAGCATCCTCATCAATGTACCATTCAAGAAGGTTTCTTCTCCATACATGACTGCTGATTATGTAGGGAGGATTGTTAATAGAGGAGGCTACTTCTGGTCCCTCGGATTGCGTGCCTTCTACTTCTCGTTCCCATTGTTTCTTTGGATCTTTGGTCCTATACCTATGTTCTGCAGCTGCATTTCTTTGGTTATCTTGTTCTATTTCTTAGATTTCACAGTCGAATTTGGTGCTTTGAGTGATGATGAATGTGTGTTGGATGGTCATGATGAAGAACAAGCTAGGTAGATGACTTTGTTAAAAACATAGTTTCATGTATGGTGGGTTGTTTGTAGTTCGACTAGGTTTCCTTTAGGTAGGATCATCAACTGATATCTCATAGAAACATCATAAATAATTACAAAAGCAACTCAAATTCAATCAAAGTTGAGTTGAGTTGCATTATAGTGCAACATACTTCTTTGGTTTGTAGTAATTTTGTATGTTACTTTAGTAGATTTAAATTTGCAAAAGCTAACATTCATATTGCCCCTTTAGAATTTCTACCTAACACATTTCTAGTTCATCTACTTCTCTGTCAAATAATAATGTGACAACTAATTTCGAACAAAGAAAGTACATCTATGTGCATAACAACGTGATAATTAATTCTGGACAAAGGGAGTATATCTACATTTTTTTGGGTGAAAAGAGAGTATATCTACATGACACCACTCGATTACCCATTTGACAAATGATGCAATATCTACGTGACTAGATACATATATGGAGTGAACCCCTCTTAAGTTGTTACAAAATTACTTCAATAGGAATATTTACTTTTGAATGCACCAAGTTTGTTACCTTCCTACCTAGTAGCTAGGAAAATTAGAGAAGTACATGGTAATGTTTATAGACTCAGCAAGCATTATAACAAACATATATGGGCTTCCAACTTCCAAGTGGTGCCATTAAAACTATGATACATACAACTTGCATAGTTGCATGCCTTCCCATATAGGGTGAGTCGTACACTTCACACTTGTAAGAGCAATTGCAACATTCATTATAAATGAAGTTGGTTGACATATATGAAGTATATCTATATATGGAAAATTGAATTCTTCCCTTGCTTTTACTTGCGTCTTTACATGTAATTGAAATCACACATATATTGATTAATATGGACACATCTAATACTGAATGACTATGGAAATTTTCTAGACTTTATGAAAATTGATTTTGCCACATCTCTACGTGAGACGAGCATAGAAAATTGTGCTCTCACAATAACATGCCGAAATCACTTTTTGATGTGTCAAAATCATTCTACTTCCTTCATCTAATAAATCTTTTAATAATATATAAGTATAATTTTTCACATGGCTTACATTATAGTTTAGTGATTATTTTAATTGGTAAAAAAAAATTGCCAAAAAAGGAAACTTTTTTTAAAATTTGCAAATTTTCTAAGTTGTGATTGATTAAATTAACTGATGGTAGAAAAAGATTAAAGGATGGGGTGTATCATGCATTCATGTGATTTGCGCGGAAAGTTTAGTTTGGCTCAAGTATTTAAGTATTTACCTGCCGAGCCATTCACTATTTTATCCATTGGAAGAGTTGATTAAGTTAAGCTCTAGTAGCTTGCAAATTGTCTCATCTCATTAGCACCCAAACACTATTATCCCCTATTTCTCCGTCCCAACATTTTTCATTTACAGGGCTTTTGGTTGGAAGGATGAAAATAACAGGGATAAAAAAGAAGGATAAAGATAAGGAATTGATAGATGGGACAAGGACAAATAATTTTTATCCCATGTTTGATAAGTATAAGAAATAAATTAGGGATAAGTAATAAATTTATAAAAATACCCTTATTAACTTCTACCCTTTTTCCTTACCCTTTCAATTTCATTAAGGATAATTTGGTCTTTTAAACCCATTTCTTATCCCTTCTCCTTATACCACTGCCCTTAGTTATAGAAATGGAGGGATAAGTGGGTGTTTTTATTCCTATCCCTAACCCCCTTCTAATCTCCATCCCTCTAAACAAACACTACATTTCTTCTATCCCTATTTTTTATCCTTATCCCACCCTTTTTATCCCCCTAAACAAACACCATCTCAAAGGTCTACAATTCCGAATCAACAGCTAAATTTGATTTGTCCTACTTAAAAAAAAAAAAAAAAAAAATGTAGGTCGTGCCAAACCAGCTCATGTCATATTAACATCTCATGACCTCCAAATAGGCAAGCCCCAATGCCGACTAAATTCTTCATTGGTAGAAGACTACAAGGGAGTTTCTGCATTCCAACATTATGTTAACTAATATGGAGCAAATAATTTTGATATCATTTTTTTCCAGACATAATTATATATGTTAATATTATAATTTTATAAATACACAAAGCGGTATCACTTGTATACAAAAACAGGGCTAAAATATAGATCCTGCACTTAAAGCTATTATATTATGTACTTACATCTGAAAAAATCAAGTTTAGTCATTAATCTAATGCACGCAGCTATACAATAGCCGTAATAAACTCTAACCTAAACATAGTTGTTTTCTTTCTTTCCAAGTGCAGCACAATGCCACCATATTGCCAAATAGAGCAATCTTCTGCACTTCAGCAATCCAACCTTTTGTTTTACTTCTTTTCTAAATTGTCAAGAAGATTACCAAATACGATGCTGACTGAAAGATAAATTGACATACACTATCTATCTTTACAACTGCACAACATTATTACCAGTCAAGACTTAATTGCAGACATTTTCAACTTCAACTTCAGTTTACCAGCTTGCACTAATATCTCTTCTTTGGATGGTTCCACCTTAAGAACTGTTGCCTTCATCCGTAGGGAAGGAACTTGCACGGTATCACCAACCTTGGGGATTATAGTTTTTTTCTCTGAACCTTCAATGAAAGCTTGTTAGAATTCAAGAGGAAGGCCCTGTTACCACCCACCCCCCCCCCCCCACCCCACCCCCCAAGTCCGTCCCAAAATAAAGTTCCTCGTATTATTTTATATAATTTTACAAAGAAATGTGCTAAAAAGTAAAGGGGATTATATGTAAGATTAAAGGGAATATAGATTGGTGATACCTGATGATGATGGCTTGACCTCAGCAGAAGATGCACCTCTAGTTTCTGGGACGACAGTTTTGGAACTTGTTGTATAATGCTGGCTGTTAATCAGTGTACTAGCTGGATGTGTGTTGGGTTCTGCAGGATGTTTACTCTTATGTGCAGATGCACGATACTGACGCATTTTCTTGTGAAGATTTGAACGTGCCGTAGATGCAAGCTCTGTTATTTGTTGCACCATTCTATATTTAAGATTAGAGCTATGCTCATCAAGCTTCCTCTGGGTATGCTGTACTTTCTCATGAAGATCCCTGGAAAGCCTATCATAATTGACATGTAAGGAGACTTATTAGTGCTTATAATTACTTTCCAACTCTCCCACAACATTCATTCCTCACAGTTCCCATTATCTCACTATGATTGAAGGATAAAAGCCACCTCGAAGGCATTATTGCAGATCAAACCCAGCTCATATAAACAGCTAAAGGGATATAGCAAACAATACACATGATCAAGAAAGTCTTCTCCAGTCACTCAGTTAGGGACCATGACAATGCAGATTTTGAAGATATTTAGACATCATGTCTGAAATATTTATAAAGCTAATGGACAAGCTAAAGTACTCAAGAAAAAGTATAAAAAAAAAACTGATCATGAAACCGTCACCACTCCCCCACCCCAACCCCGGTATACACAAGGAAAAGATATCATACTTGAGTTTAAATTGCACTAAGATTCAATTTTATAATCACAGTACTTGAAAATTAGGGAGATCTAACCTCAAGTAACGTTGCACTTCATCTTTATATTCTTCAACATTTAGCTTGAACTTCTCCAAATCATATATGACCTAAAACATTGCAAAAACAATAAAGCATTATGTGAAGGTCATTTATTCACAATTCAGATCAAGAAAAGTAAAGGGCACAAACATGATTGTAATTAGTTGCACATGTAGCATATTAGTAGTAGAGGGTAATTAAACTAATTACAATAGATGTAATATTGAAACAAAGTCAAAGAAAAAAGAAAGGTAGTCTACAAGGTGTACTGTGTGCGTAAGTTTAGCTAAAGTAGAACTCGTGTGACCTTTTTTCAAAAAAAAAAAAAAGAACTCGTGTGACCTGGGAATCCAGCATTCTATGGAGAGCCAAGTGCCTATATTGCAATGCTTGCAGATCAACACGAGCACAAATTGATCAAACATTAAAAAGTAAAACTTCCACTAAGAAGGACAAAGAACAGGGCCCTCAAAATTTCCATTGTTTCTTCCTAATAAACTTCAACACTCCCCAATTCCTGTCCGTGAGAGGATTTGGAGTGAGAACAACAGAAGAAAAGTATTCACCTCATCAATCTCTGCACTGGCCACTCCATATAGTCCACGAGCGTTATTTACAATTACTTTAGGAAGCCCAAGCCTTTCAGCAATAGTAATAGCATTTGAACGTCCTGCAATACAAAAATGACAGTATCAGCATGTCTTGAAGACATTAGGTACAAAAGCATAATGTGTAATTGTGTACAAGAGGAAGTGGGATGAAATAGCCAGGTTGCAAGACCTTAAACAACAAAATCTATATAAAAAAAAAAATCCTGAAGGCAACAAAATAGAACTGATAGCAAGGAATTCACTGGCTTCACCCACGGTGCACAATATCGAATAATTTGCCACAGACAAAGAAAGCCCCAATATTAGGATTTTTTGAATTGGATTTGCTTAGATTTTTAAGATAACAACCTGGAACTCCCCAAAAAATTTTGTAAGTTGGCTTCAAGTTGACTTCATCAAACTCCATGCATGCATTTTCAAACCCATCATTGCTGCAAAAGAGATAATTTTCAAACAAAAACCTCAAATCTTCTGAGGGCTTGCAGCTCACCTCAGGCGACAGAAAGACTAATAACTCTAATATTTAGTCTTAGAAATTACAGGTAGTCTCTTCCAGTCATACCTATACTTGAGGGTTTTAAGTTCGCCATGATGTGTTGTGGCTATGGTTAGTAAGGCACCAGCTTCAGCAAATGACTCAAGAATAGACATACCAAGTGCTGCTCCCTCTAAAGGATTAGTGCCAGCACCAATCTAAAATAGGTAAAGATTAAACAGTAGTCAGTATCCAAAGATGTCTTTATAGCTTGAGCACTGCATCCACATGAACAAATATCATTCTTAGCTTCAGCTACATAGAGGGCAAAGCATAATTTTCTTACCACTTCCTGTGTTGCAGTGTATTAAAGATACATCAGAAGTATAATACAAATGATGTTTTAGAGATGAAATGACTATTAAGGTGAATAATGTATACATACCTCATCCAAAAGCACCAGGGATTGACTAGTAGATCTAGCTTGTATATTCTGTGAGCCACACAGAAGATCAACACTTGAGGCTATTTACAAGTATGTAGCAAACAATTCGAAGATACAACATCTAACCAGGAATTTTGTGACACACACATTTAAGTGCCCATCTTTCCCCCATTCACACACACACACACACACACAAAATATTAATTTTTTTAATAACTTTTACTTGTCGACAATTGAAGATATCAATGTTTGTATTTATGCACTGGTAAGCATGAAAGACAAAGTGTTGCATCTAAAAGTTAACACAGGAAGTATTTAAAAAAAAAAAAAAAAACCCTGCACACACAGCATTAATTCAGTCTTAACTCTTAAGTCATAACAAATCAAAATGTAAATAAGATAAAAAGACGGAATCAAATTTCAAGCACAATACTCACACTGATTTGCCTGAGGTGTCCTGAGAAGGTTGATAAAGACTGAGACAATGACTGTTCATCACCAATATCAGCGAAAACAGAATCAAACCATGGAACCTGTGCAGGTTCAGCACATACAACATACAGGCCTGAAAATAAAAGATATTGTTAATCCATTATAGTGAGGTGACATAAAAAGACATAATTTGTGGCGAAAAATCCCAAAATTGGTTTTCCAGCCAGTCTTGTTTCAAACCACGGTTGATAATTTGATATTCCTTATGTTTCTAAAAATTAAGAGAAAACTCACATAATAATATGCTGGAGGCCAGATAAAAACTGAAGAACAAATATTCTTAACAATTTGTCTGCCTTCCCTTGGGAGGAATTTGGGGTTCATTCATTAGGCCAATTAGTTTAACAAAGAGCCCTTCCTAGCCTCCACTAACACTGACACATACCTAATGTTGTGAAGCTTCTGATCATCTTCACCATAAAATGATCCAAAAGACCACCTACTCTTCATCGAGTGGTGGTCAGTTTTTATGGAATAAATATATTTTAATACACATAAAGGAAGATGGTCCAGGTTAAGGTACCAATAGCAATTATAGCTGTATGTACCATGTTCAATACTGACACTGCTTAATCTTGGATACACGTTTTTTTATAACAAATTATTTTCATATCAATCTAATATCCATATCCAGGTCTGTGCAATATAGATCTAGGTTACTTACATTTTTAACTAATTTAACATGGGGAAGAGACCTCACCTGCTTTTGCCATCATGGCAGCCAATCCAACTGCTTTCAAGCAAATGGTTTTGCCACCTGTATTAGGTCCAGTTATAAGAAGAACTCTTGTATTCTTAGCAATCATTATATCAGCAGGAACTGGGTGAGCTTGTTCCAGTTGAGTAACCTACAGTGTGGAATTTATTAGACCAACATAGTGGGACAATAGTTAAATGCAAGAACCTCTACAAACTGCAAAATTACCTTCTCTTGTAGGATATCAATTTTTTCTTGCGTGACTTCTTGCTGGCCAAAATTTGTCCCGTTTATTTTTCTTCTCCGAAGTTCCTACGGAAATTAGAGTTCGAGTCCCAGCTGATCAAGACGATGCCAAGAAGAACTAGATAAGCGCATAAATATAAAAATTTAAATATTTATAATTTTACCTATCTATACCTCAGTCCAAACAAGGTCAAGGGTGATGTCCAATAATAATGCAATAGCAAAATAACAATATCTTTGTCATGAAAGTAAAACAAATAGGAAAAACAAGTGTGAGTGGTCATACAGCAATAGCATTAGCAACATCCTTCTTGGCTTCGCGTAGATCATGCCAGTGTCGTTGAAGTAAAATAGGATGATATGCTTTTGGCATACACAACTTCCATTGCTTTTTGGTAGAGTAGGCAAGCTTCATAGAACTATTCTTATGCAAGAAGCCTTCTGAAGATGATGGTGCATTCTTATCATCCAGTAGAAGTAACTCAGGACAGGTTCCTTCTAATGAGAGGCCATAACTGGCTCTAGCATTTACCTGCATTTAGTAAAATGCTGGTATAAGAAATGACGGAAGTAAACAGATTTGTTAATCTTGGCAGCAAACCAATAAATTGACCATCACATGGATCTATATGAAGCCATAAAGCTTATGAAAAAATTAAAATCAAGAGCTCTCTTCTGAAGCATCAAGTATGAATTAGCCCAACTAACTTAAAGTCTACATGTTTTGGCATCTAGAGATCAAGTTTACGATTCTCTGCTTAACCGAAGAACACTATTTCATCTAGAATAAAAAAAATATAAAATAAAAAAAATGGAAAGAAGTTCCACCATGAAGCAAAAATACTGAAATGGTTGCATGCTTACAAAGTTACAAGTAGCATGTAGATTTTTTTAACAAAATTAGCTAATCACATTTTCATCCCAACCAAATGTAATAAGCAAGTTTCACCAATTTGGTAAAGTATTTACAGTATTTGCCTCTATAAGAAATTTCTACAAAACTTTCAAGCCATGGAAAGATAGAGGACATATAGAGAGGGAAAAGGCAGAGAAGCTATACTTACAACATCAAGTGCAATTACACTCTTCAATAGTTTTTCAATGTTATCAAGGTCCAGTTTAATCTGCTCAAGATAAAGCAAAGCTCCTAGTCATTGATAGCTTGTCCAGGTCAAACCAAATAAAGGGAGACAATCCATAGCACGAAATATACTACCTTTTCTGTTATATCCAAAAGAACTTCAGCCTCTGCATCAGCAATAGATGCCTTTGCTTCCATTAATTCATCATTTAGCTGCACAGCAGAGACTGGCTCAATAATATTCCCCATGCCAGCTCCGCTATAACAACACAAAATAATTTATTTATTTTTTTTTTAAAAAAAGGTATGGATGATAATTGATAAGACTGTTAAAATGGATTAAGATAAAAATTCAACAATAACAGATAAAGGGATAGTATTTCTAAGCAAATGAAAGATAATTTTTCACACAAGAAGGGGCATGTTCACATCATCATCTTGTCTCTAACGAAATTTTTTATCAAAAAAAAAGGAAGCTTGAAGATGGTAAGCAAACCATCATGTAAAAACAAATACATATGATGAAGAATAAAGAACATGTTGATTGTCAAAGCAACGTTTCTAGGCATTCTAGACCTTCAAACCATAGAATTCTCCTTTCACAAAGAGAAATCAGAAATCAGCCTTAAGCCACAAAAACTAAAACTAAAATGGGTAGAGGGTACTTCTACATTGCAGCCATTATCTGTAATCCCGTATAACTTGGGAGAACTTCCTGGTTTTTTGTTAAGAACCATGGACCCCAATCAGTACTCCTACTGTCTCCCTCAAAAATGTATCAAGAGATTGTAGTGTCCAGATCAATTCACATGCGGACAGATGATAAAGGATATGAATCCTACGTTCCAACAAAAATAACCATAGGTAACAACAAAAATAAGAAGTGAAGTCCTACTCAACTTGTCAAAGTTCATGTCTCCAAATATAATATACTTACTCCACCCCACTCACTGAATTCAAGCCATTTAAAGACTATGCAATTCCTGTCAGCAACTTCTGTAATTTATTGACTTCATCTTGACTCTTGATATCCTAGTTAATTCAAACCTATCAATTCTAAAGATATCATTCTTCATAAGGAAGAAACTAAATATGATGCCATAGGAACTAGGTCACGGATGGATAATTATAAATGTAGATTAAACAACAATAACCAAAGCCTTAATCCCAATATGATGGGGTCAGCTGCATGAGCCAAGATTATATCTCTGGTGGATGTTGACAAAGATCCTATCCCTCCATCCCCTTCTGTCAAGTGCAATATGCTAATATAAACCCCATTTCCACGTATCGTTCTTAACTCCCTCCACTTATGTCAACATAATGAAAATACTTATAGAGATGTATCTAACAAAATCTCACATGGCTATCTTTTACAACCAAAGATGGTCAAAGTGGAGCATGTAAACCAGGGACAAGGACAACTAAAAAAAAAATGGAGGAAGTGCATACTAATCTAAGAAAAGCATGAACCAGGGACAAGATTACAGTAATTTTATGCAATATGAGTCAAAAAAATATAAAAGTAACCCTAGCTGCATGAATAAGTAGTTCACCTTGAGAGCAATAAACCTTTAAAACTTGTCAGTTGACGTGCTCCTGATCTGATGCACCATCTCCCATCAACATTACTTGCTTCCTGAATTTTCTCACATGTTAGATGAGGTCAGGAAGTAAAATACAAAGAATGCAACAGATGCATAGATTGAATTTCTTACCAAAGAACTAGTTTTATTTGTTTCATTTGCAATAAGAGTGTTCATCAACTGGTGCAACTGCAAAAGAAGTACAAAAATGATTGAGACCAAAAATAAATATATATATTTATTTGATTAAAAAAAGTACTGCTGACAGCATGTGTGCATGTTACATGGAAATTAACTTGGAAATAAATATGGTCTCTATAGGTATGCGGGAATCAAACACGATTCACAGATTCAGTAGAATCAGTACCAATCAAGAGATGTCCTAACCTTGTTTTCGAGGTTCAAAACTCGCCAACGTGCCTGTTTGAGTTTTCCACTCTGAAGCAAAGAATGTTAATACAAGATTAGATTAGAAAAATAAACAAGACAATTGTTTAAGGAAGCTTGAAACTCAATGTAGCAGATTATATTAATATAAAACTATAGATAGGAAATACTCTTTACAAGCTTTAAACTCAAGGTAGCAGATAAAATCATATTAACATATAACTCTAGATAAAAAAAAATTCTCTCTAAACGTAAAGTATATGCAAAGCATCTAACAGCTCTTTTAAAATTTACACTCTTTTACTACCACTTTAAAGATCTTGTAATCTACCATGGGCCATTTCACTTAATATGATTAATTCCCTCTTATGGTTGCATTATATATCATTTCATTGTTCATCCAAAGCTATTTCTTATCCAAAATTTCTAACACACTTCTCCCAAGTACTCGTAGTTAACAATTTTGTCTAAGAAGTTGAAATGAAACAAGACAACATTATACTCTGGTTTCAGATGTTAAATTGGTCGGCAACGTACTGCTGAGTCTTTGACAGAGCCATCTTCATCAATAACTTGCAGTATTGATCTGACTAGTGATTTGTTGGTGACCCAGTCCAGTATCTGCATTGATTAAGGAGAAAGGAAAACATAAAGATAAAGAGTGAAATCACAGATTATCCATCCAAAAAATAACTGAGAGACAATACAAATTACAAAACTATTTATCTTATACTTACCACATCAGCCAGGGGCATGAAACGATCAAGCATATCGGCATTTTCTTTGATTGATGCTTTGATGTTAGTCTGCAAAGCCTCTGCCATCTGTAGCAAAACTGCAACAGCCATAGCTTCTTGTCCAGCCACTGGTGAAGATCTCCGTGCATGGTCTACAGCAGACCTCGCCTATGAATTTCACACTAAGATTATCTCAAAGTACATAATACATGTAAGCTTACTTTGTCTAGCTAGCCACCCCTTGCAGATATACCACTATTTAGGTCCAATATTTTGTTCGATTGAAGTGAGCAAACAAACCAACCAAAAACTACTTACAAACAACTATGTCCTGTGTACGTTAAGCAGCTCCCTTGCTTACCTTCACCTTATTTACACTAATACTCTTAAGCTCAAAATGAAGCACATAGACAAATTTCAAACTTTCCACACTAAAAATTCATTGTCCTCATTTGCAGCTTGACTTTAAGTTACAGACATCAACATTCCAGCCCTAATCAATATACTAGAATTTAAAAGTAAACACCATTACATTGAATTTAAATAGGGAAATTTCCATCACATATTTTCGAGAGTAAAAGTAATACCTCAGTCTAGAAACAGCTATCACATAATCATTCCCCTCATAAAATGCATATGACAAAATTTCAAACAGGAAAAAAATAAATCTTTATAACAGCTTGGCAATGTCTACCATTTCTCCATCCCTCAATTAAGATAGGGTCACATTAAATAGACCAATCATAAACCATTACTTTTACGGAGTATTTGAGAAGAAAAGTGTCAAATTTTCCCGAATATCCCAAAATAGTAACTATGCTTAATTTTTTTGAGCCCGGATGCACATTCAATAATCCTTCAAACAATCAGACATGATTATATGAGATCAAACTGCCATTGCCCAAAAATACTCGAACATATTCCCTCCATATAAATGATGCAATATAAAAGATAATAAAAAATAAAAACGAAGGCACAAACCAGAACGACATCAATGGGAGTGAAATCCAGAGACGAATTACTATGCTTGCGAATTTCAACCGCTGCATTTGTCTCTCTTAGCAACTTCAAACTCTCCTCATACGTCTGATCAAGCGACAACAATTGCTCCTACAACAAAAAAATCAAAATCCTAAAAATCATATTCAATAAAATTGCGATTCAATTGAGAAAAATTATTCAGCAAACCTTAGAAGCAACACGACCAAGAGAAGTCCCAGCGAAGGAAGAAACAGCGTCGGAAACCTTATCCCACTCTAAAACCCTAAGACTATTGAGCAAAACCCTAGGTTTAGAATTTTCTCTCTCATCGAAATCTTCAATTGGAGATTGAGATTGAAGGGGTTTCTGCTGTTTGACAGTGGCGCGAATTCTGAATTGAATAGAGAAACTTCTGATTGAGTTTGAATTTGATGATTTTGGTTTAGTATTTGTTGATGAAATTATAGAAATTGAGGTGATTGAATTGCGGAAAATAGATGATGTGATCATAATTTTTCTGGGTTTTTGAAGTGGGAGAGTAAGCTAAAGAGTATTTGCTGGATGAAAATAGTCGTGGGAAAATGGCAGAAGTTGAAGATGATCGAATGGATAATACTAGGGGGATTTGTTAAACATCGCCCGCGTTTTTCTACATAAAGCCCACATTTTTTAAAAATGTTGACATTATTGCCCTTGTTTTAATTTTTACCGAAAATAAAATTTTTCACTCATAAAAAATGTGGAGCAGGACTGGATCGCCGAGTGAAACCGAAGAGCCCTCAACGTCGGGTAGATGCACCGGAGAGACGCCGTTGACGCCGGAAAAGGAGGTACGAAGCCATCTAAAACCACGAATTGGCGGCTGGCGTCCTGCCGGGACGCCGTGACCGTAGTGGTGGCGCCTAGCCAGGACGCCGCCACCGTGGCTCTGGCGCCTGGCCAGGACGCCGCCACCGTGGCCGTGGCGTCTGGCCAAGACGCCGCCGCCACGGTGGCGGCGTCCTGGCCAGGCGCCACCGCCACGGTGGCGGCGTCCTGGCTAGACGCCACCACTACGGTCGCGGCGTCCTGGCTAGGCGCCACCACTATTTTTTTTTTTTTTTTTTTTTTTAATTTAATTTAAAATTTGTTTATTTTTTTTTTTTTTTGTGTTACAATTTTTTTCTTTTTTTTTGGTTTTTTTTTTGTTTTGTTTTTAATTGTTTTAATTTGTTTTTGTTTTTAATTTATTTATTTTTTATTTTTTTTTTACAATTTTTTTCGTTTTATGTTTTTTTTTTGTTTTTATTTTTTTGGTTTATTTTTATTTATTTAATCTAAAGTTTTGTTTATGTTTTTTATTTTTGTGTTTTGTTTTTTTTTTTTTTGAATACTTTTTGTTTATTTCTTTGTTTGTTGTTTATAATTTATTATTGTTTTTGCTTTTGTGCTAATGTTGTGTCAAATGTATTAATTTAATCTACTCTTATGTGATTATATTTATATGTTATTGTTGCAGGATTATGGTGGAGACGGAAATGATTATAGTGGGATTTTTGTACACGATGGTCTGTTCGAAGATGCTCAACAAGCGGTTGATTGGGCGAAACAGGTTGCAATTAGATCAGGTTTTTGTTTAGTAGTAGCAACTCATAAATCTCAACGGGATGGTAGAATGGATCGCATTTTGAGATGCGACCGTTATCGCAAAAGGGAGGAACGAGATTTCAGTCAAGCGATTCGGTTTGATACAAAGCGGAAAGGTTGTGGGTGTCAGTTCAGAGTAAAGGTTCGACAACAGCAAAGGGGTGACGGTTGGGAAGTGAAGAGTTACGGTAAATGGGGGTATCACAACCATGAGATGATCGCATATGAAGTGGGTCATCGACAGTTAAGTGGCCTAAGTCCTGCTGCGAAACTAATTGTAAAAGAAATGAGTGATGCTCAAGTGAAGCCTGCTAAAATATTAGCATCTGTGTTGGAGAAATTTCCTGAAGACCAGCCAAACCGAAGACACATCTACAACGTCAGACATAAATTGAGGTTTGAACGGTCAGAGGGAAGGAACCCTATACAGCAGCTTCTACACCAGGCACAAGCACGTGGTTACCTGTACTGGTTTGAATCTGATGAAGACACATCGGAGGTGACTCATTTGTTCCTTGTGCATCCTGATTGTGCTGATATGATTTCGTCTTGGCCATCTGTGATTCTGATCGATTCAACGTACAAGACAAACAAGTATAAGTTTCCACTGGTTGAGATGGTTGGGATGACTCCAACGAACCAGAACTTTTTGATTGGTTATGCAGTTATGAAGGATGAGACGGTTGCGAGTTACCGTTGGGTGTTGGAGAAGTTGAGAAATTACATCGGCCCAAGTGTTCAGCCATCGGCCATCGTCAGCGATTGTGAGGGAGGTCTCTTTGCCCCTATAGCGGAGCTGTTTCCGGAGTCGAGCCATTTACTGTGCACATGGCACATCAACAAATGCGTGAAAGTCAAAGCCTACAACCTTTTCAACAAGAACTTAGATTCAGCAGAGAGATTGGTAAATGGTAAGTGGCGGAAGATCCTGCAAGCTACCACGGAGGCAGAGTACGACCGAGCCTTGGATAACTTCAAGGATGCATACCAATGGTGCCCGGCAATCGTAGACTATGTGATGCAGCAGTGGGTGCCTCAGAGGGAAAAGTTTGTCAAATATTGGACAAACCAAGTTCTTCATTTATCGCCACGTGCCGTGGTCGTACATCGTCATCAAGTGGTAGTCAAACATCTTCGTCGGTGAATATGCCCGGCACCGGTACGGTACTTTAGTTTAATTTACTTTTTAGAGTGTTTGTTTAGTTTTCTGCTAACTTGTTAATTGTGTTTTTTGATGTGTGCAACAGGCAGAATGGACATTGAACATTTTCCATATAAAGACAGGATCCCTAACATCATGATGCCGTTCCTGGACGGGTGGAATGATGTGGTTGCAGATGGTAACTGTGGATTTCGGGTTGTGGCTGATGTGTTTCAGATGGGTGAAGACAACTACGGTTTAGTGCGTCAGTTGATGTACAGTGAAATCGCCTCAAACCGAGCTGTTTATCGCCACGTGTACGGACAGGACTTGGATAGGTCTCTGCAGCGTATCCGGTGGGGAGGAGGACGTTGCGGTCAAAATCATTGGTTCGACGCGCCCCTTGATCTCTTCGCCGTTGCAAACATCTACAAGTGTGCAGTGATGCATTTCGGCCTTGGTTTGCATGGTCGAGCTTACTATCCGTGTACCACGGTTCTGCCTTGGTGTTCGCGTGAGACCGTCACCAGACCGGTAAGAGAGGTTGCTATTGGATTTCTGGGGCCGTCATACAGACATTTCATCCGACTGGACCTGTCACCCGATTTTCCGGTCCCACCGATTATACCAACGTGGTACACCATTCGTACAGCAAGCGTAGAGGGCTGGGATGCGTTATATCATGACCGGGTGCAGCAGTGGAACAATCTAGTTGCCTTTTCTATGTGACCTAATATTGCTATTGCTATGTTTTTCCCATTTATTTAATTTTCGGATTCTAATTTTCGTATTTAGTTTTCCCATTTAAATGTGAACCTGTATTTAGTTTTCGTATGCCCACTAATTACAACTTAAAATAAAAGTTATAAAAACTAAAAATATAATGTCAAATTCTAAGAACTTAAAATAATAATTATAAGAACAGATAATGTTAACTTTTACAAACAACTAGGAAAATGTTTTATAAATGCACTGCCGACATATCAATAATCTCTCTGTGACGCCCACTGCCACTGCTCAAGGGCCCGTTCCAGTTCATCAATAACAGCTCTGCCTGTTGCAGTTCATCAATAACAGCTCTGCCTGTTGCAGTCATCAATAACAAAGTGAAAAATATAAAATTATAAAAACTTAAAAAAAGAAGAACATCAAAATTTTAAAAAAAATTTATAACAAAAAAAAGGGAACATAAAATTTTTTTTAAGTAAAAAAACTAATTCAAAAAAAAAAAAAAACAAGAACAATAAACAAGAACATAAAATTAAAAATTAAAAAAAAAAAAAAAGAGGAACATAAAATTTTTTTAAAAAAAACCAACAAAATTTAAAACAAAATAAAAAAAAAATCAGAAACATAAAATTTAAAATTAAAAAAAAGAAAAACAAATTTAAAAAAAAATCAAAAAAAAAATAATTATTTTCGAAAATTAAATTTCAAATTTAAAACCAAAAAAAAATTAAAAAAAAAAATTAAAAGGCGGCGGCGCCTAGGCCAGACGCCGTGACGGTGGCGGCGGCGTCTAGCCCAGACGCCACTACCACGGCGGCGGCGCCTAGGCCAGACGCCGGTGCCGTGGTTCTGGCGCCTGGGCCAGACGCCACCGCCACCGTCACGGCGTCTGGCCTAGGCGCCACCACCGCCTCCGACCTTTTTTTTTTAATTTTTAAACACAAAATTAATAAAAAATACCTTCTCGCCGGAAAACCGCTGTCCACCCGCCGCCTGTGCCGCCACTTCCTTGCCGGGCCGCCTCGACATCGCTCGGAAAGTTTTTTAGAGAGAGAAAGTGGAAGTAGAGAATTGAGAGAAGAAATTGTGTTTTTTACTTTGAGGGCAAAAGTGACAATTCACTCTAATTTTGTGGGCTTTATGTGGAGATTCGCGGGCGATGTTTAGCAATTGAGATACTAGGGAGTACGTATTACTCCCTCCAACTTTACGTGGCTCCCACTTTTTTAGACCGCTGTAGTAACAGATTAAACCGCATAGCTGTTAATGAGACCCCATTCACTTTATCTTAAAAAAAAAGTAATATAAAGTAAAAATAATTTTAACTTTTAATTTAATGTAAAAATAATTTCAATTCAGTAAATATAATAGGAAATCAGTAAAAATAATTTTAGTTCAGCAAAAATAATTTCAGTTAAAATTCATTTTAATTCAGTAAAAATAATTTAAATTCAGCAAAAATAAGGTGAAGTGAACGGAGTTGTTTGACTTGTTTTCGATTAATCAATTGGATTCGTCTCAATGTATGTTTATTTTAAACATTAATTTGTATACGGTAACTTTTAATTATACAGAGTACAAAATCACATTACACACCGCAGTTGAATTGTATTTTAGATCACTAAGCATCAAAATCATACACGAGAATAATAAGTGTGTTAGTTAAATTGTTGCAACTTGCAAGTATTTGGGAACAACTAAATAAGAGACTAATTGTTATGGAGTATAGGTTATTGGACCTAATATTAAGATAGTATAATTGTGTGTTTTATTTATTTGATTTTCACCTTTCTAAGCTAACTTTATATTATCTAAATTAATTTAACCTTATTTCAATAGTAATTTGAAATTAGGTAACCTTTTATCAATTTTTTTTTATAAACTTATCTTATAAGGGGAATAGGTGCATTGTATCACTACTCAAACCTAAATAGACATGCCCAAAGCACACAATCTATCTTGGATTTTAGGAATGGCTCTAATGTTGATCAACATTGTATATGTTTAGGTTAAGTCATCTTAGAAGTCATACATGATTATAATAAGTGTAAAAGACTGATGGAGTATCTACATCAAATAAAATGTTCTCATTACTAAAATGTTCTACTCCATAGTCCATACAAGATCCATTTCTCACTAACAAAAGCTATTAACCGATGATTTTCCTTGTTTGATGCGTTATTTTTTTTTTTTTTTTTCTTCTCATTTTTAGTTGGTTACTTATCTTATGTTTTTTGACAAGATATATATTATCATGAGCTTTGACATAATACAGACAATTATGTACTTCATAACACACAACAAGAGAATCTCGACCTCTATTTCTCCTAATTTAAAAAATTGATTCAAAAATGTACTTACATATTAAAATAAATGTCAATTTAATTGGTTAACATATAAATTAATACGGCTCTCCCTGAACCAAACAAAAATATGTACATGTATATTATTCCACAAATACTTCATGATATCTGTCAAAAAGAAAATGCTTGATGAAATTTTTTTTTTTTAAAAAAAATAATACTAAACTTGTTTTACAGATTAAACTCAAGAATAATTACAACTCACAAACAAAACAAAACAAAACAAAACAACTCAGATGCTATAAATTATAAAACCTCATTTCGAGAAACAAACAAACAAAAAATAGGATAGAATCACAAAATCAACATATTCATTTCTCTTGTGATTTGTGAACCTTCTATATTAATTAAGCCAAATATCTTTTATTTCTTCATATGATTGGTTCACTGTCTGTCATTCTTTCCTATATAGCGTACAAAGCTGTCAACTCACTGAGTAATTTTCCATAAATATTCCCAGATCAAGACAAATCCGTCAGTTTTATTTCCATTAAGTTACAAATCACAATCGAAGTTCTCTCCCTTTTGACTTTCTAAATACAATTCTTTAACATCTTTTCAATCAAATCCAATATTCTAAGTATTATCAATCAACCCCATTTCAAATCATACAATATAAATAAATGGGTTTGGAAAGGGAAGAAGAAGAACCCACAAAAATGTCAAAATTAAGGTATAATTCTCCTTTAATTCAAGTAATATTAATAGGTTTAGTATGTTTTTGTGGCCCAGGTATGTTCAATGCATTATCTGGTATGGGGGGTGGTGGTCAGGTTGATCATACAGCAGCAAACAATGCTAATACAGCTTTATACACTACATTTGCAGTATTTGGGATTTTGGGTGGTGGAATTTACAATATATTAGGGCCTAGATTGACCTTGCTGGCCGGGTCTTCGACGTATGTGCTGTACGCAGGCTCGTTTGTGAACTATAATCACCACCATTCGCAGGGTTTTGTGATTACTGCAGGTGCACTTTTGGGTGTGGGTGCTGGTTTGTTATGGGCTGGTCAAGGAGCTATCATGACTTCATATCCTACAACTAAGAGAAAAGGGAGTTATATTAGTATGTTTTGGAGTATATTTAATATGGGGGGAGTTATAGGTGGGTTGATTCCATTTATATTGAATTATAATAGGGCTGAGGCTAGTTCTGTTAATGATGGGACTTATATTGGATTTATGTGTTTTATGGGTGTTGGTGTACTTCTTTCTTTGTGTATTTTGCCACCTAATGAGGTGATTAGGGATGATGGGAGTGTGTGTACTCATATTAAGTACTCGAATGTAACAACTGAAGTCGTCGAGATTTTGAAGTTGTTCTTGAATTGGAAGATGTTATTGATTGTGCCAACTGCTTGGGGGAGCAATTTTTTCTATACTTATCAGTTTAATAATGTGAATGGGGAGTTGTTTAATTTGAGGACTAGGGGGCTTAATAACGTGTTTTATTGGGGGGCTCAGATGTTGGGGTCTATTGGGATAGGATACTTGATGGATTTCAGCTTTCAGAGTAGGAGGAAAAGGGGATATTTGGGGATTATGGTTGTTGCTTTGCTTGGAACTGCAATCTGGGGAGGGGGTCTAGCCAATCAGTTGAGGTACTCAAGGAATAATGTTCCTGAGAAGTTGGATTTTAAGGATTCGGGTGCTGCTTATGCCGGTCCCTTCTTGTTATATTTTAGCTTTGGCTTGTTGGATGCCATGTTCCAAAGCATGGTTTACTGGGTTATCGGTGCTCTGGCAGATGATCCTGAGACACTTAGCAGGTAAGACATAACTTTTCGATTGATGTTATGCAGTACTCAGTAATTGGTTTTGCTGTTTAATGTTATTGTAGTTTATGAATCTGCTACGGAATTGGAATTAGTAGTGAAAATGATAAATTGAGTAATGATAATTGGCGGTGTTGTATAATTGATGTTGTAGTTGGACAAGTTGGTATTGGGGGGATTGATGTGGACTGAAACATTAGTTTCTGTAAATTGTTTCAGGTACAGCGGCTTCTACAAGGGAGTGCAGAGTGCAGGGGCAGCAGTTGCTTGGCAAATTGATGTACACAGTGTCTCGTACCTGAACCAGTTGATTGTGAACTGGGTATTGACTACAGTCAGTTATCCCCTCCTGCTTCTACTAATAATGTTTGGAGTGAAGGATGAAAGTGTAAATAGAGAACAATTCTTAGAAGATAAGAATGATAGGCTAAGCAGTTTGTCTTGATGTTTATGCTTCCTCTTGACCTTCAGCTTTTCGTGCTATATTGTTATAGTCATAATGAAGAAATGATGTAAGTTTAGGAAGTAAGTGCACTCCTAGATGGAGGCAGGTTTCACATCAAAAATCAGTATGCCTAGGACATGTGCTGACTCGTGTCTGACTTATATATCTGTTATATACTTATAGTGTCAAATTGTTAATCAACTTAATGAAATAATGTGTTTATAAAAAGATAAACAGTATTATTTTTATCGATTGGAAAATTTCTCACAGTTAATCCTCTTTATACATGTCTGTATCTCTGTTAGGCATGTAATTTTGAATTTTGCCTACTTAATTATTATTAGAGACCTGTTAGCAAGATACAAAAAGAGTGAATATTCTCGTCCTTTCTGCAGTTTTAGAGATCATTAGGCTGGCATGTAGGACACGAATGACTATCGAAATCTGGTTATTAGCGAAAAATTGCAAATATTAATTATTGCTTATATGTATGCTGCCAAAGGAAATTTACTGCTGCTGTACAGTGCTGCCCCTGATTCTTGCCCTCTGTTAGTCTGTATGAGTGGATGGAAAAGATATGCTGTTAAACGGCATGTGAACTCAAGCTGTGCTTTTTAACTTGACATAGGCTGTTACTTCAATGTTGCTAACAACAAATGAAAATTCTAGAATTTATGCTGATGGCTAGAAAGAAGTGTAAGGTTTGTCATGCTCTGTGAACAGGGATGTCACCTTAGAATTATCAGCAAAGAGCTGATGAATGTTGACATATTTCGGTGTTAAGAAAAGACGGGGAAGTGAAGATCCCTTTTAGTGATACATGAAGCATCTATAATCATGCATATGTAAAATTGGACTTCATCCATTGTTATTGAACTTTGTCTGCTACACTGGATTCAGTCAGGATAAAAGGCTTTTTTTAAAGAAATGTACTAAAGTTTGATAATTAGAAACATCAAAATGTCAGATACTGAAAGAGTTTTTTTTTTAAAGGAAGGAAGTGTTCAACAGATTGGGATATCATTAACTGCATTTGATGTGTTGATCTGGCCAACTTTTGTTGGCATATTCTGAACTTGTGGACTGCTTTTATGTATCCTCCCAACATACGATTACCATATTATGCTGCTACTTATTGTTTGACTCAACAGAATGACCATACTCTGATCATCCAGGATTCATTATCAAGATTGGTACTAATCTGTGTACCAAGATTATTGCTTCATCTGTTTCCCTTGTTCTTTTTTATTTATTTGCCAATCTAATAGGGGGTCCTTATGCTCTTTGCCTAACCAGTGAACTCCTTTTCAAACCCTATACCCCTGAAGAAAAACGATGTAGGTGTATAGGAATAATTTTTGTAATGTTTTGACTTATATTGTCTTTGTTTGGCTAAAGCGAGCTTTAGTAGAGCCGTAGGCTACAGGTTCAGGATTAATGCTCAGAACTTACTGTACCTGGTTTTTGGAGGGGATAAAGAAACAAGATATGCCTTTGTGACATCGAGTGAAAAGTACTGTAGATTTTGCTTGATATGTGGATTTTATTGCTTTTGAGTGCAAACTACGAATGTTATTGAGCGTGTGCACAGGTAAGTAAAACTAAGCATCTATTAGGCTTCCTTGCTGTCATGATTCAGGACAAATTGGCAATTGGATGTTTAGGCCAAGAATTTTTTGTTAGAATGTTGCCTTTTGGAGTATCATGTGAGACAAATCACCTATACATACATGTTAGTAGTTGTATATGCATAACTGTAAATAACAGAAACAGAATGGAAAAAAGACATTTTATTTGGTTTAGATGCAAACACTCACTAAATGCTGTACCAATTACAAAAAAGAATTTTTACTCAGGTATTATATATCTGTGCACTTAAGTATAATGTTCTATAATGGTCAATGTTCAGTTGTAACGAGAGGTGCATCGCTTTTTTCTTCTGAGGGTTGAGCCTCAACTACCTTGGCTTCTTCTACTGGCTCAGGGATCTTCTCTATCTCAGAGGTGTTAGCAACCTCAGCTGGAGCAGCCTCGGCGGCTTCAGTTGGGGCAGCCTCAGCTTCAGCCGGAGCAGCCTCAACCTTAGCCTCGGTCTGCTCCTTGGCCTCAGCCTCAGCCTCAACCTTCTCCTCAGCCGCGATCTTCTCCTCGGCCTTGGTTTCTGCTACCTCTGTGATAAGCTCCCTGGCTTGTGTTGATTCTGAGGACTCTTTTGCTTCTTCTGTGGTTTCAGAGAGACTTACTAAGGGCTCTTCTGTTTTTGTCTCTTCACCTCCATTATTTTCCTATCATAACACACACACACAAGCGGAAAATCATCAACAAATGTTTTACTAAAAAAAAATGCTGGCATATCAACATAGACTACATAGTTTTATTGGAATTCTGATCATTAAGGACAGTATGGAAAAGCTCAAAAATTTTCTTACGGTCAATTATTTGATGAAAATGTACGTATAATAGAAATGTGACTTATTATTTGAGAGTTGAGACATATAACGGTTGGCAATGTTAAGTCATGCACACATGAGGCCGTAGTTATGACTTGCACCTTTTTTTTAAATGTAAATCAGACTGATGTATAACATTAATCATCTAGAAATTGAAGTAGGCTTATCAACGGTTATGTATACCTGTGCAACGGGGTCAGACTCGGGCTTATCAACGGCAGGAGCCTCAGCGGGCACAGGCTCGTTGATGTCCAAGTCCCTAGGTCTGCTAGCACAGCCGCCCATGATCGTCTAGGGGTTGTAAATAAGGACGATTTGGGCGAGGATTAGGAAGTGAGAGGAATGGGAAAAAACTTGGATGAATGTAATTTTATTGAAAGTTTTTATTGTTTTATTCCACAAATGAGGCTGCTTTGGATGATGGAAGGAGGCATCTCTTATAGAATGAAAGACAGCTCTAAACATAGGGAGTGCAAATGTGCAATGCTCCATAAACAATGCGCAACTTTCTGTTCCTTTTTCTTAGGCTTTTTGCCTTGCAATTTATTTGTGGTTCATTTTTGCATGACTTTTTCACAAGGATAGCATTTTTTCTGTTACACAATTATTTAGTTGGTTAATTAAAACCGTTAATAAAATTAATAGTAATTTTATTTTTGCAAGAGATTATCTATAATAATAACCGCAATTAAGGAAGTCGAGGGGTTTTTTTTTTTTTCCCTTTCATTTCCTTCGATTAATTTATTAAAAAAAAAATGCTCATAATATTTTAATTATTTCATTTCGACTATGTTGTTAAACAAATTTATAGTATCCATATGAGAGGTAGACACTTAGTACATTCTTTTTGGTTAGAAATTAGCAATTTAACTAGGATGGGAAATCTTTTTGGGGACTTGATTAATGCTTTTTGCATCTAGAGGGAACTTGGGATCAAGAATGCCTAAAAAGTTACAACAGTGTAATTTTTATCAACTTTTGATCAATTACAAATCAGCATGTCCTTGAATTAATTGTGAGTGCATGCATCAGTTTTGATCACACATACTAAAAATGTAGTTTAACCAAAAAAAATAAAATAAAATAAAATTCTGAGACTAATGGCTAGTGGAGTAGTGGTACATGTAGTTAAATTATTGATTTGTACTAACTGAAATTGATTACTACGGAGTATAAAAGTTGAATTTTTCTAGTGGTTCATTGTAAATCTATAATATTTCTTTCCTATGAAACTAATATATACTACAGAGTAACTAAAATTGATGTTACTTAATTCTACTTGTTTTTACAAATTTAAATCTACTTTTATCAAACTAGACTTGATTTTTATTGAATTCGTGATAAAATAAACTACCGCAGTGTGGAATATAATAGATCGTCTAAGATTTGAGAGTTTGTAATGATCATCAATCTTTTGTGGACATCAATCTCCTTTATCAAGTCTTAACTCTTACGGAGCATTTGGAATGTGGGAATGGGAGTTTGGGTAATAAAATATAGGAATGAAATTGGGAATTGATGGTTGGGAATATATAAAAATTATGACAATACCTTGTTTGGGTAGTGGATGGGAATAGGTAGGGAATAAATAACAAAAAATACAAAATTATCCTTACTAATCTTTCTCTTCCTCTCTTTTCAATAATGGCAAAAATGTCATTTTTTACCAATTCTCATTCCCATCCATTTTATTACCTACCCTCCCTAATTAATAAAATGGTGGGAATTCACCCCCATTTATTCCCAATCCCATCTACTCCCTTCGTCCCTTTATTTTTGCCCCATTGCCGTTTTTAGGGTCAAATTTTGAAAATTTTGACCATAAATTACCGTTAGTGTATAAAGACAATATAGTCATGAGTGGTGTTGTTAGATTTGTCTCATTGTATATTTTATTAATATCATGTTTTTATAATTTTTATGTGTATGGAAATAAAGATATAGACATTTTAATACGCGTCTTGGAGACCATACACAGTCAAATGGGGCAAAAAAAAGGGATTTGTTAAACATCGCCCGCAAATTACCATATAAAGCCCACAAATATAACTTGTTTTGACTCTATTGCCCTTTTCATTCTAAAAAAAACACTCTATACTTCTCTCTAAAAAAAATCAGAAAATCTACCTCTCTTAAAAAAATTAATTACGACAATGTCGCGGCGGCAAGGGAAAGAGGTGGCGGCGGCGACGGCGGAGGAAAGGCGGCGACCTGGTGGCAAGGTAATTATTTAATTATTTTTTTTATAAAAAAAAATAAAAAGAAGACGGTGGCGCGTGCGGTGGCGTCAGCTCCGGCCACCAAAGCCGGTGGGGTGGCGTCTGGCTTGGAAGCCCAGCCACCGGCGCAGGCGTCCAAACCAGGAGCCAGCCCATTGGCTGTGGCGTCCAGATCTGGCGCCTGTGCCATTGGGTGGGCTTCTAGCTCAGGCGCCTGCCCACTGGCTATGGCTGCCGGAGCTGGCGCCACCGCCAGTGGGTGGGCGTCCTGGCCAGGCGCCCAACCCCCCCCCCCCCCTTTTTTTCTTTTTTTTTTTTGTTTTTGTTTTTTCTGATTTTTTTTGGTTTTTTTTTTTATTTTGCAAAATCAGAAAATTAGTTTTATTTAAAATAATTTAGTTTTATGTCTATTTTTTTTTTTTGTTAATGTGTTTTATTTTTGTTTAAATATTTATCAACTTTATGTGTTTTTTTTAATAAATCGTGTATACTTTATTTTTATAAAATCAGATTTTTTTTTTGTGTTTATATTTTATTTTTTTTTTATGTTTGATGTTTAAACATTTTTTATGCCTTAATTGATGTAGTATGTGGTAATTGTTTGTGTTAATGTGTAATTGTTTTTTTATTTAAAATGTATAATACATTAGGGTATTATGTGTGTATTTGTGTATGTGTAATATATTTGTTTTTTATTTTTTATGGTTAGTTATTTGAAATAATTTTTATTTTTTTTGGAAATCATACATTTTGTAATATATTAGGGTATTATGTGTGTATTTGTGTATGCCGTATAATATTATTCTGTGTTTAATTAGTTGAAATAATTTGAAATTTTTGTTTTGTGTCCTAATTAGTTGAAATAATTTGTTAAATTTTTTGTAGAATTCACTGGGTCGTCATGGTGCGGGGAAGAATGTAGAGCTTCTTAGTAGAACCTATTCAGTGGAGAGGTCGGGGCATAGACATGTTAGATCCCGAGGTATTTCGGCCTCGGCTCGTAGAGAACGGATCCACCGGCGGGATGAGGATGACGATGACGATGATGATGCTGAGGAGGGTGACCAGGAGGAGGAGCAGGAGGAGGGCGCATATGAGGATGAGGATGTGGACGATGGGAGTGGACCGTATGAAGATTACGGTCCATTCAGTCAGAGGGTTGATGACATGTACGAGGCACATATGGTGGAGGTGCGTAAGGGTAGGGGTGGTAGGTTTGTTAGTAGATCTGGCACATCATCTACGTCCACTGTATCTGGGGCAAGTAGGAAACGGTCGAGGGCCGTTAATGATTCTTGGGTTGTTAGGAGTGAATTGCCCGGTGGGCCTGTTGACGGGAGTGTGATTCCTAGCTTTCTAGGACACATAGTTGCCCGTATGTGGGAGGACCAGGAGAGGCCTTCAGTTACGGGGTTGTTGAAATGTCATACCCGGGAAAAGACTTGTAGCTTTTTGCGTACATGGGCTGAGGCTTGGCCGGCGGAGAGCGAGATGTTCGAGCGACTGGAGGGCACTGGGGTGAATCACGTTCCTGCCATCATGCACGATAAGATTGACAGTACGCTGATCACGGCTTTCGTTGAGCGATGGCAGCCGGATACAAACTCTTTTCACCTTCCGTTTGGTGAGATGACGATCATGTTACATGACGTCGAGGCCATTCTGGGGATTCGTGTTGAGGGTAAACGACTTTGCGCTGTGGCTAATGCGGATCAGGCAGATTTGCTGGCGGAGTTGTTGGCGGTGGACAGGGTTGCACTGTACACCGAGGCGCTGGGTGTTTGGGAACACGGCGGTGTGAAGATCGTATCCGTGTTGCGGCGGTGTTTGTACCCCAGCGCACGTAGGACGCACGACGCACAGCTTAGTGCTTATGTTTTTCTACTCCTCGGATGTACCTTGTTTCCGGATAAGAGTGGCGGAAACAAGCTCAGGCCACGCGACATAGTAGAGGCGTCTGACCCCGACAGCGTAGGCCAGTTTTCCTGGGGATCGGCTACGTTGGCGTATTTGTATCGCCAACTAGGATTTGCGAGTCGGGCGGACGCGGCAGGTGTCACTGGGTGTCTGACTCTATTGCAGACCTGGATATACGAGTACTTTCCTGCATTGCGACCACATCGTGACCCGGTTCCCATTGATGAGGGGATGCCGCGTGCATGTGCATGGAGTCCGCGCTCGGAGAAGAAGTCCGTTGACCGCCTCCGATCGATACGGTTATTGCTTGACAGGTTGTCCCCCTTAGAGGTAACGTTTATAAATTGTTTCTACATTTTATTATTTGCACATATTATATTCATGTTATTAAATTTTAAAACTATGTGCAGGTGAACTGGATGCCTTTCGGCCCGCACCCTAGTGTTAGGGTACCCAGGACTGCATCGTCGAGGGACTACGTCGTGCGATGGCCAGATATCATGACTGCGACGTGGGACCAGTTTCCGATGGTGGCCCGCTTATGGACTGCGGAGTTGCAGCGGGCGCCCTCTGGGCTTCCTCCCATGTGTGACCAGTACTACATGGAATGGTTCAACCGGTATTCGCACCCGAGATTGATCGCAGATCTCGACCACAGCGATGATGATTGTTTGCCACTGTCTACTGCCACGGAAGCTGTATGTCTCATAAAATATTTATCGTTGTTTTTTAATTGTTTTATATGTTGTTATTGTATTTCATATTTTATTTTTTGTTGTATGCAGTGGATGGGGAAGATAATGCAGGACGTACAGAAACTCTCTCTGGAGAAGGACAGCATGAGTGCAACAGTGAGAGCTACTGTTGATAGTCTGGAACAGACCCTTGCGCATTGGGAGTCGGCGTCGAGGAGGGAGTCACCTCCGTTGTATCTTCATCAGAATCAAACCAGAACAGGTAACCACGTGATTGTGCCTGGTGTAGCAGCTGCTGTATAGGGTTCCTTCCCTCTGACCGTTCAAACCTGAGTTGCTGTCTGACGTTGTAGATGTGTCTTCGGTTTGGATGCTCTTCTGGAAATTTCTCTAACACAGATGCTAATATTTTAGCAGGCTTGACTTGAGCATCACTCATTTCTTTCACAACCAGTTTCGCAGCAGGACTTAAGCCGCTCAGCTGTCGATGACCCTCTTCATATACTATCATGTCATGGTTGTGATACCCCCATTTAGAGTAACCAATCACTTCCCAACCGTCACGACTCCGTAGTTGTCGGACCTTTACTCTGAACT